AGTTTAAAGTCGATATGTCGACTTTAAAGTCGACATGTCGAGTTTAATCTCGTCATGGCAAAAATATTTTTTCTCTTCATGTGTGGCCCTAATACTCCGTCGTATAAATGAGACTGGCAAACACAAAAAGGCACGCAAAAAAATGCTGCTAAGGAGAAAAGCGGCAATCTCAGAAAACAGCGAGCAGCCAAGTGGACACGTTGTCACAGCGTGTTTCATCTAAAAGATCTATTAGTTCTTTACATCTAGATGTTCTAGTTCTTTCTCTCTAAAATAATGACTTACTGCCAACTTACCTTACTACTCACTGCTTCTTTTAAGATAAAGTTAGTATGAGGGTTGCTGCATCTATAATATATAGCTCTATAGTTTTTTTTTATTTTTAAAAAGCCACCTGTGTCACCAAATAGGCATTTCCAATAATGTCATAAAGTATGTGTTAGTGAAGGGGGACTTAAAACATCTGAATTCAGAATTAGAAAAGCAGTATGAACTAATAACAATAATTGATCACACATTGAAGAAATTTACCTCTGCATTTAACCCATTCCCTTGGGGAGCAGTGGGCTGCCATCACGGGGAGCAGTGTGGGGTTAAGGGTCTTGCTCAGGGACCCAGAGTGGCAGTCTGGGGGATTGGGGCTTGAACTCAGAACCACAGGATTCCAAGCTCTATACCTTAACCACTAAGCCACCACTGTCCGCCATTAAACCACAGAGTGACTTTGGTAAGAATTTATGATCTGACACACATGAATCGTAGAAGAAACATCTTACCTTTCTGACTGTCGATGACAAAGTTGCCTTCATCGTTTCCTGTGGTAATCTTGTACGTGATCCCATCCCCATCGGGATCCTTTGCCAACACAGTTGCAACAAGTGTGTTAGGTCCTGCATCTTCTGAGACAAAGGTCCGATATCTGATGAGGCACATTAAAAAAAAAAGAAAAAATGTCAGCTCTTAACCTGCAGTCTATGAGGGACACATCTGGAAATAGCTGTTAAAAAAACAAAACAAAAACACCCCCAAAATACTGGTGTATGGCAATTTAATGGGTTTGGGAGGAAACCGGAGCACCCGGAGAGAACCCACCTATGCTCAGAGAGATCATGCAAACTCCATGCAGAAAGACCACGGTTCGGGAATCGAACCCCACAACCATCTCGCTGCAAGGCAGCAGTACTACCTACTGCGCAGCTTGGGATTGGTCATGTGCCAAGAAAAAAAAATCATACAGAAAAAAAAAAACATATGTTTATGTTGCATCGTCTATGTTAGGGTGCATCTCCTCAGGTGCATCGCCACTCTGCGATGCACCTGAGGGGATGCAGTGATGTGCTCGAACGCTCTCGGTCTGCATAAAAAGATGACCATGATAGCGATATTGACCTAGCTGCTGTTTACCACAAGCCAAAAAAAAAAATAAATGAATAAAAAGAAAAAATGAAAAGAAATAAAGAAGATATGCAGTCGCTGCAGATTCGGCTTCATGTCTGCTCTGAAGTTTGTTGGTCGTGGACGTAGGCATAAGCTGGACGCCACGACTTATGGGTAACTTACAGTTACAAATTTTAAGCATTTGGAGCGTGCTCAAAATTTCTCGACGTACTTGTCGTATGTCGACGTGTGCCAGCGTGTTTCAGCGTACCCATAATTTCTCCAACGTATGCCAGCGTTTTTGCCACATTTTGTGTATGTCAGGCAAACGCTGGTCTAAATCGTCAAAGTGTGACAGGGGCTTTACATGGATAAAGCACGATACTCCTAGCCTTCATCCTGATAGTGTTTACTTTTTCCTTTTTGAAAACAAAAGGTGTTTTTGCAGCAAGCACATTTTAGGATATAACCTTAGCTGTACATCGTAGCTATCTGCTGGCAGTGCTCACCAATACATTCATCAACCTACCAGCTTCAGTGGCTGTAGCTCCTGCTTCAGTGAACATCAACGTTCATAATGTATTCAGCACGTTAATAGTTTTTACTCTAAACTCTTTGGACTTTTCTTCACACCTGCTGGTAACTTATTCACTCCATTACAGTAGCAGCCATTTAAAATGGCCCAAGTCAAGCACCAGCCGAATGGCAGCCCACTTCCCTGCAACTTCCAGCAAAGTGCGCTCCAACTTCCAACCACTGGCATTCATTTTCTTTACTGTGACTCCACCCTTTCAATGAATTAAAGGGTCTGAACAGGAGATGAAGCTTCTCTTGAGATCTTAATGTCCTCAAACCAGGACAGGAAGAATATTTCACTACAAAGATTGATGTTTAAAAATGAACTGTAGGGGACTAACCAAGGACCCATCAAGGAAAGTGGGGAAATTTTGAATGGCTACTACTGTAGTTTCTTGTTTACTTATTACATTGTTTCGTCACATCATGCCCTTTGTCATGTGATTTTTCTATAGATAACACTCAAAATACTTGAGTTTACCAGCAAACGGAACAAAAACAAGGTCTAATACACGGAAATGAGATACGATAAGCCAACAGGGCGCGATAAGAAAGCAATTGTATGCAACCAGTAGAAGCATTTGGCATTGAAATGAATAAGGTATGTGACTAGGCCGCTGTAAGAAACTAAAAAACAAACAAATTAATTTTGAAATTAAACTTGAAATACATCTGTAGCCAGTGCATTGATAAGCTGGCTGTGGTTGTTTTTTGGAACCTCCAAAAAACTATTTTGCTGTTTTTATGCATGTGGGACAGGAGTACGGTTGCCAACAGTCCCTTGAAAAACTGAATCGTTCCATATTTAGAAATAGAAGGATCTGTCCCGTATTTAGTGGAAAAGGAACGCACTTTGTCCTGTATTACTGTGAGAGTAAAAAAAACTGTCTGTAAAAAGCTCATGGAAAATCAAGGGCACGTTGTATACAAACTTTACGGTAAACATGTTCCCGAGGCCTGTCCAGCGTTTTGACCAACGGGCTGACAACATATGTGTAACGATCTAGAATACCTTTATCCCATTGGTCGAGCCAAGATAGCGGGAGACAACAGAGCAGTATGGGGCATAAATGGAGTAATTAGACAAACAAAGACAAACAACTTCTCACTACTGCAAAAGCTCAGAGGAAATATGTGGAAAAAGTAGGCTATCGCCACATAATGTGGCATTGAGCTAATGATTCTTTTTCTGTTTTACAACTGTAGCCTACAGTCATTGCATTTAAGGCATGTTTACAAGTTTGTACAAGTTTGCTGTTGCACCAAAAATATGCACTATTTATTTATTGTTTTATATTAATTTTTACAGTTTGAAGTTAAGCAGGACAGGCTTATGTTTAAAATACTTATTCAGCAAAGTTTGTGACTTTGTATAAATGTGAATTGCTGGATAATAATTTGTTTTCCATGTGATCATGTCACTCACAAATATGCATCTAATTGAATGCAGATATGAGTCAAATAGTTAAAACAAAATAATTCCACACACAAAGGGGGGCTAAAAAATTCACCATGCCAGGTGGGGTGAAGGCTACCGGGTCAGCTGGCACGCACATGAGGTGTCCCTTCTTTTTCCAGGGAGTTGGCAACCCTAGACAGGAGAGGTTTATACTTGGCCCAAGATGCAATATGGTTCAAAATAAAATAAAAACATTTAGAGCCAATAAAACTATCAGTCGGCCTCAGTGGACGGCCGCTCACACTGAGCCTGGTCCTACTGGAGGTTTCTTCCTGTTAAAAGGGAGTCTTTCCTCTCCACAAGCATGCTACAAGCATGCTTAGTGTGAGGGGTCGCCTTCGAGTCAATGAGTCGATGCAATCAACTGGTTTTCCTTAGATAGAAAACTATGAATCAATTTCACTGGATGATCTGGTAAAATGGAAAGTGCCTTGAGATGACATGTGTTGTGAATTGGCGCTATAGAAATAGACTGATATGAATTGAATTCAATCAATTCACAGTTGAGGATTAGAGTTTAAGTTTGTTAGACCTTCAGAACTCAGTTAATATTTATTGGATTTAGACAAAGACACTTAGAGGAATAGTTCAATCTAAATGAAAGAAACTACTGTCGGTGCAGCAGGTAGAAAATTACTGAAAGCAGACATGAAAATACAAAATGCAAAGTTGGCAATGAAATGTTTCAATACATTTAAAAGCTGTAAAATAAGAGTATAAAAGATAAAGAAAGCAATGCTGATTTGTTATCCCTGAGATTCCCTCATTTTAAAAGCAATGAAAATAACAGTTTGTGTTGCAATGTGATGAAATAATTTTCTTAAGAAGTAAAATATGTGTTTTCTCGGGGTGCTAAAGATGCATTTCTTATCTTTTTCTTGAAATAAAAGAAACAACTTTGAACCTTATAGTGTTAAACTCTCTGACTTTAAGAATAAAACCGATCGATTCTAAATGTTTGATAGTCGGGATCTCTCTGAAAGGTTGACCTCTTTACATGGTTGACATATGGTTGATACTTTATGGGGGGAAAAAAAGTCCATCTTCACTTATTGCATCACAACATCACAGCATATCTGACTTGTTAGGTCAACACTGGATGAATAATTTAAATGCTGAAATAAAGTTCTCTCTTTCAGAAATGTAAACAGCAACGCTGTTCAAAGAAACTTCACAGACATTCTCAGTTCAGCCTTTTAAACTCAGATCCTGGAAAAGTAGAGTTTAGCATCTTATTAAAAACGATTTCTCTCCAAACAAATGAATTATTTTATTCCCTTTTTTTTAGATTCAACGTTAACTGAATTTCATACATTTTTGCAGATCAGAAGGCAGCGCTACAAACATCCTTGTAGTCGTTGTAGACCATTAAATGTTAAATCCTGCACTATGCAAAATAATTGTTGCAGTTCTGCCTGTTACTTTATAAAATGACTGACTGACTTTATGATGTTAAGTTGGAGAATAGAGCCAGACTACTCTGGCTACACTAGTGTCAGTTTCTTCTTCTATGAACAATAAGATAGAAGAAATATTTTTCAACTGACTTTTAAGTTTTACATCAAAATTAGTTATTTTGTAATCATGTTATTTGCAATTTTATTTCTATTTAATTTCTTTGTAATTCCAAAATTTTCTCATAGCTTTTATTTTATTTTATTTTATTTTTTTAATAATTAAATCAGATGGTTTGAGTAATTAGTACCAAAGGTTTACATTTTACCAAATATTTTTTACTCTTCAGTAAATTCTCGGATGATTTCCTTCTACTTAGAATAAAAAATGTTAAGTAGTGCTACTCTTGAGAAAAACTTTTTTGGTACTTTACCCACCTCTAGTTAAACAAGGCCATGTCATACTCTGATATTTTTCTTAGGATGTTGGTTAATTTTTACCATTCACAAGAATGTTTACAAAATAAAATGAGATACTAAATGAAAATTCAAAGCTTTGTTTTCTTCATTTGAGAAAATGGCTCATTGCAGAACAAAGTAACCATGTATACTCGCACAATTAATTCAAAGAATCACACACCACTGGTTACCCTTTAAAAAAAGCAGTATTTTCAATAATTTTTCCTGAAAACTGCTGCTTCCTCAGTACCAGGATGTTCTGCCTTTATTTATCAGTATTTAGACTGTATTTATCCACATTAAAATATGTACATACTCCAGCACTAAGAATCCTACACAGTCTCAATTCATATGAATACTTTCATAAAATACAATTAGAATAATCTGATACACATAAACCAAAGTGATTAAGCGAAGAGCAAATAATAGATTTAATATGGAATCGTTTTAATTACACTCTAATCTATTGGATCTCTCCAGGATATTCACCAACATGCCAATAATGTTTGAAATGTTTGCTCTCCAATGTTTCTCCACTTGTTTTTATTGCTTCCATCCAGAGCCTAATGCCGTGGGTCAGCTTTAGAGATTAGTTACAGAATTTAATTAGAAAGTTCATTTTTTTTCTCTCCAGATAAAGCAAAGATAGACAAG